GTTAGGAGGAAGAAAAACCAGCAAATAAGGAGTGCATTGTGTTTCACTGTGCGTCGAGGATGACTGTCACGGTGAGCTAGCAAACCCTGCTCTAATTGGCAGAGAGGAATTTTGCCAAAGTCATGGAAGCAAAGTGGTTTGTTACTTGCCTTTGCGGACTTGGGAGAGATCTGTCTTGGATATCCTCTTGTTGACCTTATCGAGTTAACTTTCATGTGTTTAGAAGGTCATGGAGAAAATCATTAATATTAGGTTGATTTGATGGCTGAAAGGTAATAAGTATTTCCTGCTTATCAGATGGGGTTTGAAAGGACTTTGAATAGCTTGATTTGTTTATCTTTAGCAATCGGTACGGCCCTTAGCGAGAGGGATTTTGTATTCCTAGTTCAGTTTGGGGAATGACATATGGTTTGCTCTCTGATGAGGCTTGCAGACTCTGTAGGATAAAAAAAAAAAAAAAAATCAGAAAATTTTGAAGTCCAGCTCCCAGCTAACTTGGCCATGCTGTGTGCCTTGGACATCTCACGCTGTAACGCTTTATGACATGAACAATAACAGATTAGCATCCTCTTTTACTGGAAAGCTCAAAATAGAAAAGCCGAAGTGCGTAGAGGTCGGTTGGATGGAAAGCCAAATCCCATAAACACGACGTGGCACCGCAGGGTTGCATGAGCCTCGGCGGGGCCACGATTGCTGTCCGTTGACGGCAAGGCAGAGGTGTTGGCACAGCTGTGGCACGAGCTTGCGTAGGACTAGCATCGCAGGGCTGCTTTTGCCGTTGCGGAGCGTTCCTTGGATTACTTAACGGCAAAACCTTGGGCTGCATCAGCACCGTGGTCTTTCCCTCACCCTCCATCTGGGATTTAACAAATAGGAGAGTCGCAAAGCCATTGAAAATGAAATCTGCTCGTTGTTTGAGAATCGCTCGGTAAAAAAAGCACTTGAGAATCTCCCAGCGTGGGCTGTCCGAGGATGGATGTGGTTTCTGGTTTCTGTGGCTGTTTAGCAAGGAGCAGCACTAACTGCACCTACCTTGGACCATCGGGCAGGTGCAGCAGAGAGGAAGAGCTGCCACTCTCCAGGAGTGAGGCGTTTCTGGTGCATCGGATGGTTGTTTTTAAAAGCAATGCTGTTTATTCCCTTGCACAAGCGTCGTATCGCCAGCTGCATTTTCAGGATGTCCTTGCAGCTGTATATTATTGCTGAAAGATGTAGTGATAAATAAATGATAAATGGATGAGGAACTGATGGAAAAGAGAGAGAAAATGAAACCAAATTTGATGCTCTGTTTTAAAGACTGAGAGTTTGCAGACTGTAAACCGTTGGCAAAGAAGGAGATGGAGTTATGAGACCCGCTGTCCTGAGATGCTGAAGTTGTCCTGCAGAAACAGTGGCCCATACCAGTTGGGTAGACTTGCAAAACAGACCACAATACAACCCCGAATCCCACCAAAACCCTTGAGGAGATCAAGTAATGCAAGAAATCCTTTTCTTGTCCCTAGACAGTGTCCCCCGGGGCATGTCGCTGGTCGGGAGCTGGAATGTACAAGCATCCCCATTAGGTTTAGGGACCTGTTCTGCTAAGCTTTGGATCCAGTGTCTGTAGGTTTTGCTACCTACAGCATGGATGTGGGGATGATCAGGTTGAAAAGCTAAAAAAAAACCATGGTGATTTTGTATGATGTTGGTACTATTTGGTATGATGTTTTTATGTCCAGTAATAAAATATTAACGGTAAAAAAAAAAAAAAAAAGAGAAAAAAATAATTGCCTTTTGCTTTGGTCAACATAAGTGAAAGGCCTTAAGTTTTCAAGTGGGATTGGCTCTTAAAGCCATTTCTGCCTTTGGTTTTGTGTGGTTGTGATTGTTATGGAAATGTATTTGAGGGTGGATGGACTTGGTTTTGGGTGACCTTCTTGTGTGAGCGTTGGCGATCACTTGCCGAAGGAGGCGTATGTTACTAATTTTTTTGAGATTTATGAAAGAGAGTCTCTCTTGTGCTATACATGAATGGACTTTCTTATCTCAGTAAAGTTAGCTGCTTGAGGGACTATACCCTTTAGGGCAGGGACACTGAGAATGGATTTCGGCAATGGTCAAATAAGTTTTATCTCATGAAATCGACACTGCATGAAATTTTGTTTGAGAGTACTGATACCCTCTGCTGCAGGCCAGCTGCTGCCCAGGTTGGCATGGCTCATTAACCCTGGCCACACTCCAGCAGAGCATCCTGTTCCAACGGAGCAGTTGCGCATGTCCTTATATTTAAGCATCTCCAGGCTGCTCTGGACCACGGCGTGTTGACCAGGAGACAGGTCAGCTGCAAGGAGAACCTGTAGCACGTTCCTCCTCCAAGATTTCTTTCTGTGGGTTGGAGCTGGGCCTGTTACTGGAGAAGTTATGGAGTGATCCATGCTTGGGCTGGCTTTATTTCAAGGGTTGGTGTCTCCAACTGATCCCCGTGTCTGGTTACCCCTGGGCTTGGGCAAGGCGTTGGGGTGGTGGGTGATGCCAACCAGGCCCATGGCTGTGGGAGGAGGAGATGTCATCCCTCCGGCTGCGGCGTGTCCTTCTTGTGAAGGGAGGAGACACTAAATTAGCTGATTTTGGGCAGGGAAACTGTGACAAACACGCATGGGCGGGTTTGTGGCATGTTCAGAGCTGACCACAGCACGGGATGGCTCCGTGGGTGCTCCAGAGTCCACCCGGACACTGTGGCCACGGGCTGGGGCCTCTGCGGTGTCAGTGCTTGAGAGACAATTAAAAGAGAGAATTTAAACATGTTTTTAGAAAACAGATTGCCTTTTCTGTTTGAAGTTTCCAAGAAAGCGAGGCAACCTGCCCTTCCCCCACTTCAGATCCCACCTGTTTTGTTGGTTTTTTTTCCTAGAAAAATGTGAAATTCATTAACATGTGGTGAAAGCAATGCAACGACGTCATCTTGATTTAAAATCTGTTTTAAATCTTAAAATGACGGAGCCAGAATCTTAACTGCAAATAGCCTTGCTTTTGTGGGTACGAGGCAGACTGTCAACATTACTCCAACGTCTCCGGTTTTGGTAGTTTAGCATCCTTTGCAACGAGACCATTTGAAAAGAAAGCAAGAAGAGATGTGGGAAGCAAAAAACAAATGATTATTATTCGTGTCAAAAGCCAAGTCCTGCCTGCTGTGCTCAGCCATGGCTGTGGTGCCTGGAGCAAGGAGAACGAGCAGATCCTGGCTCCGTGATGGCCACGAGCTCCGTCAGCATCCCACAGTGTCCTCCTGGCAGGTGCCACGGCTGCTTCTCCTCTTGCGTCCTCATCTTTGGGTCGTGGCTTCTTGCTGCGCTGTTTTCTGAGAGTGGGAAATATTGCTACGATTAATTGTGTCACTCTTGTCTGTCGCCTCTGTCGTCGCCTTGAATGTCTGTTTAGACCTGGCGTCGCCCTGAATCCCCTTTTGCTCAGCCCGTGTGTGTAGCTCCTGCTGTCTCCTCCTGACTTCTGACAGTAAAAGATGACGGTGAAATCTCTTTCTCTCCTAGGACTTGGGACTCAAATAGCATCATCCCAGCATTTAGTAAGGGCAGCAAAGGCAATCCCACAACATCCCTGGGAGCCTCATCACTGCTGCTACTGTTGAATATGATGTTTTTGTTTGGGTTGCTTAGGGAAGGTCCAGTGCTAAGCCTGCCCAAAGTTCTCCTGCTGCTGATCTCTGTGTCTGCTTAATGATTGGAAATGCTAAAAAGTTCTTTTGAGGCTTTGACTTTCTGGGAGTATTTGGCTTCAAAATATTTGCTGGTATGAGATGACGTATGTAGGAGGCTGAAGTGGGGCTGTTTTGTGTGTTGTAGCCACTTGCTCTGATGTGTTTTAGCCTGGAAGGGACCTGAACGAGGATTTATTGACCCTTTTTCATTTGGGTTGCCAGCTTCATCCCCACACTGATATATCAGAACACTGTTGCTTGTAGTCTAGGAGGACAAGCGTGCCGCAGCAGGAACGTGTTAAGAGGAGAAGTAGTAACCCTGCTAGGAGTAATGTCCGTCCTCTGCCAGTCCCAGAGCTAGGTGTCATTAAATTCCCAAGTAATTTCTTGTTTTGTGACGGATTTTGTCTCTTGCACACAAGTGGTACACAGCATTAGAGCTCACCAGCAACGAGTAGGCTTTGAGAGCTCTTTGTCTTGGTCAAATTAAAAATTGCCTGTTGTGCGGTGGCTTCGTGTGTGTGTGCCACTCGATAATCATTTGCTTTTGGATTCTGAATGATTTCTTGTCCTGGAAAAACAGGTGAAGTGACTCAAGTGATCAGACCCTGCTGATAACGGCCTCGTGGCTGGACGTGCTGGTTTGGCTCTCGTTGGTCCTTGTGATCTCTCCCCAAGCCGTGGCCCCGTTGAGGTGGACAGAGATGCATCCATAGAGAGTCACCAATGAGTTGGCTTCACTGAAAAGAGGAGCTGATGAAAAAGTTAGGCTGAAGAGTGCCCGTGTACAAATGACACTTTTATTCTAGTAGATTTTGAGCCTGTGCAAAGCTGATGTCAGCACAAATAGTTTTATCCCTTGACTTCTTCCCTGCAGTTAATCTGGGGAACCAATGTATCTGCCGAAGGTGAAGCACAAGTTCTCTGAAATGGAATTGTCTACCCCCTTTCCCCGAAACGTGTCCGTGTAACGTGGTAGAGGCTCTGCATGTGCAAAGAAGAGCCTAATTTATGACCAGGATTAAATCAAAGCAAGACCGACCAGAAGTTTTTACTCAAAAAAACCCCCACGGTTTGGTTGTAAAAACCCGCGTTTGGGTTACTGTCGAGAGCCAGCTCTGGCTAGAATTACACGTTGAGTGCCTGATACCACGGCCGCAGCCGTCAAGGGGAGGGCAGCCAAATCCGAGTCCTCTTGTGCCGCGTGCCCGTTGGCAGGTCCACGTGCGGTCTTTCTGACAAAGGTGCTTGCTTTGTTTCATGGTCTGGTCTGTTCTCTCTCCCCCCTCTCCCCATCCGCTCGCAGATGTTCGCCGCCGAGGAGAATGTAGATTTTCGGATACACGTGGAGAACCAGACGCGAGCGAGGGACGACGTGAGCAGGAAGCAGCTTCGGCTCTATCAGCTCTACAGCAGGACAAGTGGGAAACACATCCAAGTGCTCGGCAGGCGGATCAGTGCCAAAGGAGAAGATGGAGATAAATATGGTAAGAATATTTATGGGGATCCCCCAGACTCCAGGTCAAAGGCTTTAATCCTGTGTGTTGGGCTGAGAACCTCTTGGGAGAAAAACAAGAAGAGCAATAAAAAACAGGATGAAAGGGGGAAAAAAACCTTTCCAGGGTAAGAACATGGATTTGTTGTGTTGGAGCAGGCTGTCAGCCCGAGTCCCAGCTGCCGGCAGTTCCCGCAGTAGTGTCGTGCGGGAGAAGAGAGAAATTTTTTTGTGCCCAACGGATGAGCTCACAGTGTGTCCACTGTAATTTGTAAATGATATCCACATTGGTGACTGGGGATGTTATTTCCCTATGAACTCTGGGCTTGAGTTTGGCTGGATCCAGCGCTCCAATGAAGTGCTGTCGTCTTTCTAAGTGGTGGGGGATATTTGGTTTGAGCTGAAATTAGGCGGACTTGGAGCTTTGAGAGTATCCCAGAGCTTAAGCGGAATCTTGGGGCGTGTGGGTCCTGCAGGAACGCAAGTAATTGAGCTTCCCCCGGGCTAGCAGCATGTTCCGCTGTTCTCATTGTGATCTGCACACAGGGAACATGTGAGAAATGCTGCTGGCAGGCTGAATTACAGAAAATCTGTAATCTGGTACCTGTTGAGATGGTCACAGCAGAGATACTTTTGCTCAAGTTGGTTGCTGGGAGGATTTTAAGGCTGTTCAGAGAACCGATCCTTGTTCTGTTACGGATGTAGAGCCCTGCGTGTCCCTGCGGTGCGCAGAGGTGTGTGTACACGCTGGCTAGCACTAACATTCACGGGAGGGTGACTTCACGTGGGCTACGATGATGGTGGGTCCAAATCTGGGAAGGGTTGTTCCCTCGAGGAGCTCTGGGCAGGATGAAGCACAGGTGGTGCCTGGCACAGAGGGCAGTGGCTGCTGCTGCCAGCACGGGTGGAGGAGTGGGGTGAGCTGTGCCATGGGAGGGAACAGCTAGAAGGCAGCTGGCTGGTGTGAAACGAACCCCCACAGTTGTGCAGAGTCACAACATCTCTCCAAGAAAGCCTTGCCCTGAGGTCTCGTCGACCTCGTCCTGTGTCGTTCCCAAATTTCCTGATAAAACAGGAGCGGAAAGTGCCACTCGGCTGCTAATTACGGTGACATTTTATTTGCATTCGTCCTCTTAAGGTTTGATATGCAAACGAGGCGCTGGGTGCTCGCTGCCGCCTTCCCGGGGACGCTCCTGCCCGTGGTGACTGTCGGGTAGCGGCCGCGGTTCTGCGCTCGGTGAAAGAAGGCGGCACTCGTGGCGGGGAAACGTGCCCGCCAGCAGCTGACAAGTGCTAATTTATGTGTCAAAGCCCATCTTGTCCCCTTCATACATATGCAATCGCGTCTGAACAACAAACCCTGGCGCAGGAGCGTGCTCGTGGCTGGTGGCGATGCCGCGGAGCCCCAGGTTTCCCCGCCGGGGAGCTCCCCGCTGCCTGCCTTGGTTCTGGCCACCCAACCCTCGCCGCTCCTGGGTGCTGGAGTCCGTCGAAGAAGCCGGAGCGCTCCTGCTCCGACAGCCCTGCCTGCTCCCTCCCCCTCGTCTCCCGAGAAAACTCCTCGACGTGTTGAGCTGTGAAGCCCTCCCGTCCCCAGCCATGCTGAAAGGTTATGGAAATCTGTTCGTTGTCCTGCTTGGCACGGGAATGCTTAGGGCATGATAATCGGGGGGACAGTGAAGTGAGGCATGGGGGTCCAGGATGTGACCGGGCAGAGCTCCTGGCTGTGATAATGAAGGGGGGGGAGATGTCAGAGTTACTGAAGTGAGAACCATCTGTGTTACAGCCAAAACTGGATACAAAGGCAATGACACAGGTTTCATTATGTGCGGCGAACCCCTCCCCCCGAGGCATTATTACGGAGTAACCTTTGATCAAGACCCGAGCGAGGCTTAAACCAGGTCTGGGGATCTCGACAGTCGCAAACTTTTCATCCACGTCTCCGTCTTGCTGGCCAGATCCGCCTCCCAAGGAGGACACCTTTCCTCTAGGGCACCAGGTGGCTGTTGTTCCTCCTGCCCTTTTCCTCTTCTTCCCTCTTTTACTGCCTCTGCGCTGGCACCGTGAGGCAGAGCCTGGCTTAGCCCTGGGGAGGGCCCAGCTCGTTTCTTGGCCGCATCGCCCTCGCAGGCGGTGCAGTCTCCCACAGCTTCTCCACTGTCCTAACCCTGTCCCCTCTGACGGGGGAGATGATGGTGGAGGTGATGTGGATTGATGCCCGAAGGGTTGCAGCCCGGGAAAGGCTTTGGGAGGATGAGCAAGAGCCAATGTCTGAGAATAGGCAAGAGATGTGGGAAATGGTGCCTGTGAGCTCCATCCCATTAAGAGAAGGTAACGTTGGGCAAGGGCAACACAGACTCGGTTGGAATGTGGGAAGCTCTGTGCAGTGCCATGGCTGTGGCTGAGGTCTGTAGTGCTCATCACCAACAATTAGCACTACCAGTTGTAAGGATGGAGGAGCTACTAATGTTTGGACCTCTTTCCCCTCTTCTCCCACACAGCTGTTTAAAGAACAGCATCCAAGTGAAGAAATGCTTTTATTTATTTATTTTCCCCTCTTTTTATTTATTTTTTTTTTTTTTTTGCACATATACAGCTTCCAAATGGCTGGCATGGGAGGGCTGTCCTGCCTTTGAAGGGAAGTTAGTTTTATTGCAAGGTTTTATTGACTTCTGTAAAACTTCTCACCTCTTGGTTGAAGAGGATGCCCAGAAGAGAGGGGAGGTGGCGGGTCTCAGGCAGGGAATTGCTCGTTTCCATGTGGCCACCATGGGTCCGGCAAAACGAGCAGCTGGCCCTGGTTCAGGGAGAGAAGGTACCACAGAGCTGGGAGAGTCTGGCCGGAGGAAGCCCCCTTGGATGTTTTATCCGGGCCTGTGAATGCCACGTGTAAGGGCAAGCGTGTCCTCTGCCATGCCTAGTTTTGCTGGCACGATAATTCCGGTATGTGATTTTTGGTTTACGCGTTCTTCGGGGCCAAGATCTGGCCCCATGTGTCAAATTATTAAATGGCAAATTAAGTCAGTTAATAGAATTAATTGAGTCGATGTAATCCTTTTAATCAGATGGATTTGATCCCTTCTCAGATGAATTAGAATCCATTAACAGATAAGTCAATTATTGGTCTAAATTAAATCTAATAATAATGCCTGCTGCTCACAGCAACACTAATTAATCTAAATACACTTACCTATCTCCCAAGGTTGTGTTTTTTTTTTTTAAGGCTTAATTGATGTTCCTAAAGTGCTCTGAGATCTTTAGATAACAGATGATCTATGTGAGCAAAATATTATCTCTTAACAGACTATAAACTAATTAAAAGACTGATCTATTTACAGATTGCATTTTTACTTTAATCTCTTCAACCTATTCAGAAGGAGTTTGCACTGGCCCAGAAAAACAATATTCTTATTAAAAGCTTATTATTACTTTACAGGTTCCTAAGTGGTCCTTTCATTCAGAAACTGAAAAGGGGAAGGAGAAAAAACAACCATTAAAGTGCTGACAAAAAAAAAAAAGAAAAGGACCTGGAACCTTTATATTCTACCTCCGATAAATGGTACAGATAGGGAAGAGAGGGATCAGTGACCTGAAACCTTAGATCCTTTCATTTATTTTCATTTCACAAAAGGCAGAAGACATTCTATCCTGTTTGTTCATGATCTTTGTATCCGGCGCAGTTGGGGAGACAGAGCTCTCTTGGTTGGGTGAAGGCATTTTTTTCCCTCATTTGTGTTTCACAGCCATGTGATTTTTGGTTTAATTTGTCTCCGGCTACTGCCGTCCCGGGGGGCGAGGAGCAGCGATAGCCATCAGGAGCGAGGCGAGGGGGGTGCGGGAGGCCTTCGGGCTTGCCCTCTCTGTGGAGGTGACTTTTATTTGTGGCGAGTGCTTGGGTGTCCTGAAGTCTGGGATGGGGTATGTGTAGGTAGGTTATTAGTCAGCCTGTTCCAGGTTGCTGTCCAGTGGTATTTTGTCTGTTGCCCTGGTCTATCACAGTTTATAAAAACTCTTGAGGCTCCTAGAAGGTTATAAACCTTCTAGTCTATGGCACGGGAGGTTATGTTCAAGGACACCCATGTTTGTGGACGTCCCATCCCTGGAAGTGTTCAAGGCCAGGTTGGACAAGGCTTTGAGCAACCTGGTGTAGTGGAGTGTGTCCCTGCCCATGGCAGGGGGGTTGGAACTAGATGATCTTTGAGGTCCCTTCCAACCCAAACCATTCTGTGATTCTATGACACCTTGTGCACGGGGCAGGGTGCAGGTATGGCATCTCTCCTTGGCATCCCAGCACTGCCAGCATTTTCAGCCACCTGGGGAATGGACCCTGAGCTGGTGAAGTCCTCCCGAAGACTCACCCTGAGTCCAGTGGGTTTTAGCTCAGGACTCAAGAGATGCTCCTGAGACAGGAGATTTGGTGAGGTTACCAAAGCGTGGGTTTGCTGGTAGGGTGTCGACAAACCCAGGCAGCCCAAGGGGGGAAGCAAATTCACGAGGTGGGGTAGGTGTGTGATGCCTGGGCAGTACCTCCACGTGTCATGGGTGTTCCCAGTCCAGAACATCACGCCCCATATAGATATACTTTTTCGGGTGGTACAGGGACAGTGAGGAGCTCGGGGAGAGGGGTGCCTTCTTCCTGGGGCTGCTCCAGCCGGCTGATGTGCTACACAGCTTGCGGTCCCCGCCTTCTATCTTGGCTGAATCTTCCCAGAGATGCCAGTGGACAAGCCCACGGAGAGCACATTACAGCTGTCTAGACATCCGCCACGCTCCATCCCGCCAGAGATTTCAGTTGTGGTAGAAGTGGGCTCTGTTCCATGAGGAGGTGTAATATGTGTGGAAAATATTATTACAGCAAAATAGCCTCCTTTAATTGAGTTGAAATTTTGCAGGATTCCTTCCTAGGTTTGGGTAATCCTGTGTGCTCCAGAATTAATGAGCTGACATAGCACTTCTTCGGGTTTGGCAGCCTGACAGCTAATTTCGAACTCC